AAAGAAAGAAAGAAAGAAAGAAAGAAAGAAAGAAAGAAAGAAAGAAAGAAAGAAAGAAAGAAAGAAAGAAAGAAAGAAAGAAAGAAAGAAAGAAAGATGTTTGTTGAGTCACATGCCCTGTCCCTGGGGCCCAGGGCTGAAGTGGGACCCAGCATTTGTCTCTTATGCCTCCCCCAAAAGTGACTGATTGATCTCTTGTCTCTCTTCTCATGCTCTCCACATGCCCCTCCTCTCTTCTCACTTTCCTTTCCCCCAGGCATCTTCAAAATTGAGGACTCTGCCCAGGTGGCCCGGCTGTGGGGTGTGCGCAAGAACCGGCCGGCCATGAACTATGATAAGCTAAGTCGCTCCATTCGCCAGTATTACAAGAAGGGGATCATCCGCAAACCCGACATCTCTCAGCGCCTTGTCTACCAGTTTGTGCATCCCGTCTGAGAGCCACAGAGGCCAGAGGCCTACAGCCTGCCCCAGACAGCCACTCTTTGCTGCCCTGGGCTCTGCCCAATATGAATCCAGGGGTTGCTGGCATTCCAGGAGCCAAGGTCACGGAGAGACAGTCACTGATCTGGGATACACATGAGCTCTCTGGGTTCCTCTTCAGGTCATACTGCTCAAGTACACAGGCCCCTGGAGGGTCAAGGGAACTAGGATTGCTCACAAACGGAGAATTCCCTGACCCAGGCTTGGACTGTGAGATTCTTCCTGGAGGAACTACCTACGGCAAGCAGGGACTGGACCAAGACAACTCACAGGACGGTGATGCTGCTGCTCTCTGTTTCTGTCACCACCCTGTGCCATAACTGGCCTGGTGCTCAGAGATGTCTGCACCGTGCTGGGGAGCCAGGGGCACCCTAGGAATGGATAATAAAGATACGAGACAACATACAGGTCCCCAGTGTCTGGCTGTGGACAGCACAGCCAAGAGGCCAGCCGTGGTTAAAGGTGACTGTGGTCACGGGGGTTCAGGGTGGTGATCACAAGGAAAGCTTGCCCGGGGAGGTGTCATGGAGCTGAGCCTAAGAGAAAAACGGTAGCTGTTTGGTAGAAGCCATGGAGGAGGCAGAGAGTTCTCCCGGCCGAAGTAGCTAGTCTAGCTGGCCACAGCATCCTCCTCAACCCGGCAGGGCTGAAGCGGGAGTGGGCCAGGCTGGAGAGCATCTGTACACAAGCTCAAAGTAAGGAAGGCAGCCTCTGCACCTGCTCTGTTGAATGGCAGGGCTTGCCGCCAGGTGTGCCCAGGTGTGCCAGGGGTCTGGCTCTCCTGCAGGAGGCCCAGAGCTATTATATTTGTTTGGCCACCCTAGAGAGCTGAGCCACATGGTGGATTGTGGGAGATGGTGGGGGATTCAGGCTGTTTAGGGGGCAGTAGCTTTGGAAGGATGCTGGGGTTTCAGTCTCTGTCCCCCAAAGACTTCCCAAGATCCATCCATGGAGCTGTGTCCCTTACCTGGGCACGAGAGCCACCTGAGTGTGGGGAGCTGGGCATGCATCTGCTCCTTCTCCTGAGCAACTCAGTGTATCACACGTCCCTGGTTTATTTGCCCAAATCAAGCATTCTGAGGCCCTGCCATGCACTGGCCATGCCCACTCCTCCTTGTCATTGATTTTCTCAACAAAGCCATGAAGTCAGGGTCACTTCTCTGTTCTGCACGTGGCCAATCAGAAGTCCAGGATGACTGAGCAATCAGCTCACTGTCACACAGCAATGGATGCCAGGCCCGGGAGCTGAGCTCACACCTCCCCTCCAGGTACAGGAGTCGCCCTGCCTTTCCTTCCTAAACAAGTTGGCACCTCAGCCCCACAGCCCTTAACTTCTGAGGCCAGTCTTCTAGGAGAAAGGTCAGGGAGCCAGCAGCACCCAGAGCACCAAGGGGTTTTTTGGTTTTTGTCTTTTGAGACAGGGTTTCTCTTTGTAACCACCCTGGCTGTCCTGGATCTCCCTCTGTAGACCAGGCTGGCCTCAAACTCACAGAGATCCACCTGCCTCTGCCTCCTGAGTGCTGGGATTAAAGGTGTGCGCCACCTCACCAGGTTGGACCACCAAGGGTTAAAGGTATCTTGTACCCTGCCTTCTGCCCCCAGCAATTTTATTGTCTCCTGAAGAATGTTTACCCCTGACAGAGAGCAAACAGCGCCTTGGCATCTGTCAGTCGGGATTGGACTTGACAGGAGGGGTGTGTGTGTGTGTGTGTGTGTGTGTGTGTGTGTGTGTGTGTGTGTGTGATCTACCCAGGCCTCTGCCTTGCTAGGCCCCAGCTATCTCCCATCCCCAGGGAAGAGGCAGACTGGGACCCTGGCCAGAGGCAGGCTCAGTGCTCTGTTAAACTGGTTTTGTGTCCAGCCAGCCCATCCTGGCCCTCAGGACTCCCTGAAGGCACACTGGATGTCCCAGCTGTGCCTGGGCCAGCCTCAAAGCTTAGGCAGGCCTGGGGGATTTCTCAAATGGGCCGGGGTATTGGGGAGCAGGAACAGCTCCACCTAGGGGAGGTATGGGAGATCAGAGGGGCAGCTTCCATCACGGAACATGCAGGCAGCTGCATCCACCCAGCGACACCTCCGGAGCTGGCAGCAAACCTGGATTCTCTTCCCTCTGTTGGTTCGGCCCTATTAGAACCTCACCTGGGCAAGACGTTTCCTATCCCCTTTTTAGAAGCCTCATTTCAAGGCTCCCCCAAACAAACTGTAACAGCCTGTGTGACTAAGCGGCCACCACTTTGACTCTAAGATTCCTGGGTTGGGCATGGAGGCCTGAGCCTGTAATGCTAGCATTTGGGAACCGGAGGCAAGAGTTCAAGGTCACCCTCAGCTATACAGCCAGTTAGAGGCCAGCTACATGAGACTGTTTTTTATTTTATTTTAGATTTACTTATGCATACGGGTGTTTTGCCTGCACATAGGTCTGTACACCACATTCATGCAGTGCCTTCAGAGGTCAGAAGAGGGTGTAGGATCCCGGGACTGGAATTACAGAAGGTTGTAAACTGCCGTGTGGGTGCTGGGGATTGAATCTGGATCCTCTGCTAGAGCAGCCAGTGCTCTTAAATGCTGAGCAAACTCCTCAGCCCTAGTGAGATTCTAGTTTCAGCAAAGGAAAGAAAAGAAAGGAATGAATAAAGGGGAGGGGTGTGGAGGAAGGGAAGAAGAGGAGGGAGGAGGGAAAGGGGGAGGGGAAGAAGGCAGGCTGGTGAGATGGCTCAGCCTGTAGAGGGTCCCGACAGGAAACCCGAGGTTGTCCACTGCCCTCCACAGGAAGCACATGTGCCCTCCAGCATTTTACTCTTGGTTGCTGGGTCTCTGGAACATTCACACACATTCAATAAAAATGTAAACAAACTGTTTAAAGGAATGAAGGAGGAGAATGAAAGGAATAAGAAGAGTCCTGTCGGGGAAGAGCAGAGCTCAAGGCAGATGATGGCCATGCCGGCCTCACCTCCTCTCACCCTGTGCACCCTGGGGGGGAGTGCTGTGTGCACCCTGGGGTGGGGGGAGTGCTGTGTGTACCCTGGGGGGG